ACTTCGGGTTATTAATGATCGTATCAATATATTCTCGGATCTTGAAGAATGTATTAAATTTATTAAATCAATTAGAAATGAAAAAATCTTTTTAATAACATCCGGAGCACAAGCACCCGAAATTTTATCTCAAATATTGGACTTGAGTCAAGTTGATTCAGTCTTTATTTTTTGTATGATAAAAGATCGGCATGAATATTTATTAACTAAATACAATAAAATTGTTGGAATTTATACCAAGTTTGATGAGTTATGTAAATCAATTGAAGAAGAATTTGATATTTTTAATAAACGCATAGAAGCATTTTCTTGTTTTGAAAAAGGTGAACAATCTACGAAAGATTTATCAAAAGAATCAGCAACATTTCTTTGGTATCAATTATTTAATTATGCTATTGCTCGTCTTCCAAGAAATCAACAAGCAAAAGAACAAATGATTCAACTATGTAAAGATTATTACGGTCGAAATAGAGAAGAAATGAAAAATATTGAAGAATTTGAACAAAAATATCGATCAGAAGATGCAATTTATTGGTATTCAAAAAAATCATTTCTATACAAAATAGTTAATAAAGTATTACGAACTGGAAGTATTGAATTGATACATGCATTTCGATTTTTTATTGCTGATCTATCGGAAAATCTTCAACGTCAACATGAAAAGATTTTCTTGTCAAAAGAAAAAGTTTTAAGTCTGTATCGAGGAGCTGCACTTGACATAAAAGAATTTAATAGATTAAAACAAAGTCAAGGAAAACTTATTTCAACAAATGGATATTTATCAACTAGTCGAGAAGAATCACAAGCACGAGAATATGCAAGTAAATCTACCAAAAGAAATGACGTCGTTCGTGTTCTATTTCATATTGAAATTGATATTGAAAAAACTGATAAGACTATTATTTTTGCTGACATTGCTGAATTAAGCGATAGTCCCAAAGAAGCTGAAGTTTTATTTGATATAAATGCTTGTTTTGAAATCAAATCATTTCAAGAAGATAAATCATTTCAAATAATCAAAATGAAACTTTCAAATGAAGGACAAATAATTGCAAAAGATTTTCTTGAATCAACAAGAAAAGAAATCGAAGGAACAAGTGATTCAATTGTCGTTGGTAGATTATTATGTGACTTAGGTGAATATGATGAATCACAACAATACTTTGAACAATTATTAGATAAATCAAATAATGAAGATCGCGCTTGGATTGAATTTAATATTGGTCGAGCTCTTGATTGCAAAGGTCAATGGAAAGAAGCTGAAAAATATTATAGTCGTGCATATAATCGAATGATGGAGCATGGACCAAAACGATTCAAAGATGCTGCTCATGTTCTCAACAGCATGGGTAACGTTCTCTATCAACATAAAAAAGATAATGAAGCTCTCAAGTATCATCAAATGGCATTGGAAATTCAAGAGAAATGTTATCCAACCAGCCATACTGATATTGCAAAAAGTCTCAACAATATCGGTAAAATTCTCACTCATCAAGAAAAACATCATGAAGCTCTTGAGTATTATCAACAAGCGTCAACAATTTATGAAAAATTTTATCCATCAGGTAATGCCGATCTTGCTGATACTTTGAATAATATTGGCGTTTCTCATGAAAAACAGAAGAACCAAAAGATGGCACTTGAATATTTTGAGCATGCTTTGACACTTAATGTCAAGTTTCGTCCTGTTGGCCATGAAAGTCTACAGAGTATCAAAGATGCTATTCGTCGACTTACTGCAACAAAATAAAGTTGTTAAACTTGAAAATGAACAATTAAATTTCTTTCATGATGAACAGATTTAGTTTTATGGTATGGGCATGCTCTTGAATCCAATCACATCCACACTCTAATTTTCACATGTTTGAAAAAAGACCTATGTTTACTTTTACCTTATTACGATGCAGATGTATGAGAAACAAAAATGAAAATCTTTCGAGAAATCCAGAATGACAACGACTTTTTATCAAAACCTAGTGTCTTCATTTCTCTATCATTTGCTATGATTGCTGACCGTTAATTTTGATCTGTCTATGCTCGGTAACGCTTTTTAGTTTGCAGAACAAAAAACAGCCATGCCTATCAGCGCAAACATCATCAAAATTTATCGAGACAAATGTGACGTTACAGTACTCTCTGCACATTTTCTGGAAGTTTAAAATATCCTCTCCAAAGTGGTTCGAAAGGTTAAGGGTATGGGCATGCATATTTTTCCTTCTCATCGGTCACACACACTACAACCCTTACACGCATTCTCCACATCCACACCCGAGATATGTACGACTAGATTTGTGAGTAACCAATTCTAATCATACTTTCTCTATGATATTGGATAAAGCTAGGCTTTCAAGAATTAATCAATTCCTACTATTAACCGGTTACATATGAAATGATCATAAGAGTGCGAGTGAAATTGTAGGGAATGGTTGTGAAAGAAAATAAGATTCTTTTCCACATTCTCTCATCCTCATCCTGACATTGAGAATATCCAAAATTAGATACTCTGCATTTGAAATTTTAAGGTGTTTTGAAAAAAAAATGATGGAAAAGTGTCTGTTGATTACTAAACACATTAATGTGAAATTACTAATGGGATGCCAGTCTTTACTTTACCTACCTATACCTATATCAACTCTGTTTCTACTATTTATTCTATTTTGTGTAATTTTTTCGTCTTATCTACTATTGTTAAAATATGACAGCTATCTCTTATATTATTTGTTATTATTAAACTAATAAACTTGGTCATGAAAAATATGCATATCCAATTTTATGCTTATGTATCATTAGTATCTAGTATCTTTGAATACGAAAAATGATTCTTTTGTATGCCAACATTTACAAATTTTTACGGGAATAATTAAAACTGACTAGTGAGGAAAGTTCCTCAGCTGATTATTTGCTTTTCAATCGAGACTATGTGTATCTTGTAGAACCAAATGAGTGTAGAACAGCTTGGAAACAGTTCGGGCTCATGGCTTATTACTATTGAAATATTACACTTTTACGTTAGTTTTGAAATGAATGTCATGGTCTCGCTCAGAAACATCAATAAAACTAATTTCAAATATCGGCTGAAAATGTTGCACATCTTGGTGTGGGTGAGTGAATGACTGAAGAGCTGACCCTCACTCACACCCACACCCTTATTATTTACTTTGGCAGCGCTCACGTCATTCTTTTCAGAATGAAGCGATCGCATTATATCATACTATTTTTCCTGAGTTATATTACATAGAGTGTCTGCATCTTACCTATTTTAAGCATAAGATAGTCTCATAAAGTGCGTTCGAGAAGTCGCCTAGCTTTGGACCAAAGAAAATTACCGCTTAGTGTCTGGCTTTCGTGCACTGATAAGATATGTCATGCAATCGATCTTTTTTTCTCTTGCTGCAATGGGTCGCTAATACTATGGACTTTTTCAAATATACCACGACATACTTTTATCTAACGCACACAAACACCTTGTGACACTGTTTTGTTGAAAACGACCATGACATTTTACAATACAAAAAAAAAGGACATTATTCATTTGGAGAAAAAGGTGATAAACGTTAATCGAATTGGATCAAATTTGAGACAAGCATTTTTGTTGTTTATAATTTGAAAATTGATGAACAGCATTCAACAACTACAACCTTGAAATAATATTTAACTTTCGTAACCGGCTGCGAAAAATAAAATAATCTTTGTTCACGAACTCCTCTTTGTCTTTTATCAGAATCAGTTTATAAAGATCATATGCTGACACATGATCATATATTTTCATTATGAATTAGATCCACAAGAATATTGGGTATTGATCCACCCTTGTAGTTTTTATACGGACACGATAATCCATCTCCCTTCTTTTTCCACAACCAAGTAGATGGATCGATTTTTGTCACTTCTTTTCCTCCCAATTTATTTACGTATATATGTCGTGTTGCTTCATTATTCACTTGCACAAATGCATATTGAAATCCTCGTTTGTCTCGCGCATGAATGCACATGGCTTTTCGCAATTCAGATGCAACACCTTTTCTTGCATGGGACGCTCGAGTTCCACCAACTGAAATGTGTAAAACCATTTGGGGCTTTAATTCTTGACCAAAATCACGACATATAAATAAGTCTTGCATTTCCTGCATTAAATCGCTGAGAGCGACACGTTGTGGACCGCTAATTGAATCATACGGATGTTTTTGAATATGAGAATACATATCACCAGCGACAATAACACCGACAATCTCGCCCGTTTGACGATATCGTGCAAGAAAGGATAATCGTTCGTCGAAAACTTCTTTCAATATTGGCCACATGAACTCATCATAGTATTGTTGTGCTGACATTTGATGAAAGACAGCCATAGGATTGTGCAGAGCAAAGGCTTCGGCTAGTAATTCTGCACATAATCGAGCGTCAGACTCGTTGTGGATGATTTCATAAGTGTATTCGACATTATCGACCATGATTTTAAAAAGTTGAATGCAAGGAGCCAGGCAAAAAAAGCAAAAGAAAGAATATATGTCGTCGATGAAATGATAATATTCTTTTTTTCTTGTCTTCACTGTGTACTACCCACGTGCTTCTTTTTTCACTTATCCTATTCATCACTGGAGCTAGGAACTGTAAGGATGAGAGTATGCATTATAAGTTATTGCACGTCAGCCAAAACTGAATGCAGCAGGGAGTGCTCGATCGACTATCTCTACTTTTCCTCATTTTACTATATGTGATGAAGACCATTGAATAGATGCTTTTTTTTTTATAGAATTTTTATGCCGAATGTAAGTTACCTTTAATTAAAGGAAATATTTGCCCTTTTTTACCACAAGTTCTACGTAGAAAAGAATCAGAAAAGCCTTTTTTAATATCATCGTAATTGGAAAATTTTCCAGAAAATTCAATTATATTATCTGAAGGAGATAACTTCAAAATTAAAAACGAAGCGGTTATCAAGCCACAAAATAATGGAAAAGAAAGTTGGTATTGTAATTGAGGAGATTTCGCTCATTTTAATGATAACAAAACAAAAAAAAAATTTATGTCCATCTAGTTACTTCGGTGATCAATGTCAATGGCAAAATCAACGAGTTGGTTTAACAGTTCAATTGGTACATCGTGCTGATACTTATACTATCGCAGTTTTTCAGATAATTATTATGCTGATCTATGAACAAAGACCAATCGCATCATATCATGAACAAATCATGTATGCACCAAAACGTGACTGCGGTACAAAATATAATCTTTCTTTACTTTACTTTATTCAAATCAACCTAAGAATTCCTTCGCTAATTATTCAATACATATTGATGTTTTTGATAAAATAACATTAACATATTTGGGAAGTTGGTATTTATCTATTCCATGTCAATTTCTACCTATTAATCGAATTGCTACTCAACTATTTATTCAAAATACAACAATGATTTTACCATTATGTCCTTTATTTTGTGGTGAACATGGTCGTTGTGTAGAATATATAAATAAAAAATTATTATATTTTTGTCAATGTAATGAAGGATATTCTGGTTCGCACTGTACTATTAAAGACAATTGTTCATGTTCATCTGATTCATATTGTCTTAGATCATCTATTTGTGTTTGTCCAATGAATAAATTTGGTTCAAGATGTTATTTAGAAAGTTTAATATGTCAAACAATTTGAACAAAATATAATTACAGTCTTCAGAGCAAGTTCATTTAATATTCTTTTTATTGAGCTAACTAATCAAACTTACTATTTGGTCGTATTAAGAGAAAGATTCATTGAATCAGAATATATTCAAACAAAATTATTATCAAATTATCGATGTTTCTCTATAAGTGAATTAATGAATACTACTTATCTAAATTATAATTTTCTTTGTCGTGTTAAATATTATCCTCATTTATGTCAAAAAAAAAACAAACAACTCAAATGCTTCTATGATGAAAGATACATGTGCATATATATGCGATATTAATCGTTTTTCGAATTGTTTCACATTTGATCACACCGTTACGTATGATTGTCAAGGAGACAATGTTTGCAAAAATAGTGGTCTATGTTTTCAAGACAATGTTACCTGTCTTATTTTATTGATCTGTGTATGTCCAGAATGTTATTACGGCACAAACTGTCAGTTTTCCACAAGAGGTTTTGTATTATCTCTTGATTATATTTTTGGTTATCATATCTAACCAAATATTTCATTTCATCGACAACCATTCGTTAATTAAAATGAGTATCATTGTAACAACAGTTATGTTTGTTTTCAGATTGATCAATGTAGTCTTGTCTATAATAGCATTTTATAGGAAAGAAATACGAATAACTGGTTGTACTTTATATCTTTTTATTTCATCATGCAATTATTTGTGTCTAATCATTGTATTACTAATCAAATGTTGGCAGTTAGTTTTATCACAATTATCAATTCTTACCAACCGATCATATATTGGATTCAATTGTACAATATTAGATATGATTCTTAAAGTTCTGGTGACATCAAATGATTGGCTTTATGGATTTGTTTCTCTCGAACGAGTAATTATTGTTATTAAAGGTGTTAGATTCAATAAAGTTAAAAGTAAACAAATGGTTAAATGGATAATTCTATGCATATTTCTTCTGACAATCCTCACTCACATTCACGATCCTATACATCGCCGTTTGATTGATGATTTCGATGCTGATGAACATCGAACTTGGTGTTTAGCTCGATACTCTACGGCATTCAATATCTTCAATACATTCATTACTCTTTTTCATTTTCTTGTGCCTTTCTTAATCAATCTAATTGCTACCATACTAATTATTATTTCAATGGCTCGTTCTCATTCCCAAGCTCAGACTCGAACACCATTCATAGAACATTTACGACAACAGTTTCATCAACATAAAAATCATCTATTTGCATAATGTACATTAGTATTATTGGCTTCACCTCGTCGAATCATGTCATTTATTACTGGATGTATGAAATCACCCTGAAATCCATGGTTATATCTCTTTTGTTATTTGATCTCTTTTATTTCATCCATGATGACATTTATAGTATTTATATCAGGGTATGGGTGTCGGTATGAGCGTAGACATAATAAAAGATAACACCGACACCCACCCCCACCCCACATCACGTATTGTTGTTCTTACACTCTGAATCGATGGCGATTTCAAAACAATGCAGTTCTTTGGCATTGACATTCAAAAATAGTAATCCGTCAATATTTCGATAAATGTATCTACTTACCAAGGGGAGCACGACGATTGTGTGTAAGACAATTGTGTGCAAGATGAATGTGTGTTATGTATAAATAAATATTTCAGTCAAAAAAGTGAATGACAATGAACAAAACAAAGTAGACAAAACAACAAAAAAAAATCAAGAAAAACTAATCAATAAACAATTATAAGATGAATGTATGAGCAATCGCTTTTATTTTCTGTGTATTATCATTTGTAGGATTATCTAAAATCCGTAAAATTCTCGATGCTGTGTTTTGAGTTTTGATCCTCTTTGGTTTTGGTATGAGACCTGTTACTAGTTGAGAAATTTCACCGTCTACGTACGCTTGCTCTGTTTGAAGGTCGCCTAAAAAACACCAAAATCCAGGATGGGCTGAATCCACAATATTGTTAAGACGTCAATGCCATCCTTCAACGGCGTTGTTTGTATGATCGGATTGGTTTCTTTACGTATTGTGTAAGTTCCAAAATGTGATAGGAAACATTGAAATTGCCCTTCGGTTGCGACTTCGAGATCTACCTATGTAATTATCTTCGAAATAATTGTAAAGTGGATCGAGATCTGGAATTTGTAGACCACCAATATCTTCAAATGTTGAACAAATATCATTGGTTTCCAAAAAAGCTAATGCCGGAAGCATGCGGACAGAGTGTGCATATTCTTCATCGTTCCCATATTTAGTTGTAAAACCTGCTTGTTGAACTTGTCGATAAATGTTTTGTGTCAGGTGAAAGAAGCAAGCATGAACGTTTGATTGAGGCCAACAGGAACGAATAGCATTCATAGTTCCGTTTTCGAAATCGATAAGAAATGAACTAGGATTGAATAATGGTCTTAATGAAATAATAGTATCATACATTCTTTTATAATTTTATTCGCTCTTACGTGACATAAGAATATAAGCCAATGGAATGATAGTTCCTTGAACTGAACCGTGGATTGAGTACAATTGGAAAAAAAGTTCAGGGACGACCTTAAATGTGCCATCCATATACATGTCTGCAGATGATTGAAGAAGATCAAGTTGTTGACTCGTCGCAAATATTAAAAATCGATTCGAATCTTGGTTTCCTGAGTCGTATTGTAAAAATTGTTCTTTTTTCTTTGTGAGAGTAAATGCACCGGTTATTTGTATTTCTGACATTGATCGAGGATTTGCTGGAAAATTTAGATTTTCAGCACGTTGTCGACAGACGGTACGCTTCAAGTTGTTGATAGACGGAAGCTGGCTTAACACTGCAGCAGATGCTGTGGCAATTGATGTAGCAACAATAGAATGCGTGATGATTGTTGTTTTAGTCAGATTACGAATTTCAGAACGACATTGACGAATTCCACTTACGCTCGGATTGGGCGCATGATTGTGATCGCCAACTCGATGACTAATTGTGTTATTAGTTGTATGTAATCTAGCTTTACATTTTTGTTTGTTGCATTGCGTGCATCGCCAGTATACTTTATTTTTGTAAGTACGTTCTTCAATGTAATCAAAACCGTTCTCGATCATAACTGGCTTACCCTTCTCGGTTTTACAGAAAGAACTTGATATGATGTATTCGTATTTTTGATATGATCTAGACGGTGGTGAATTATGAATAATTGTATATGCATAACGTCTTCTCACTCTCCTCAGTTTAAATACTTTCAAGGATAATTGATCATTTTTTATATGCTCTGTTTTATCCTTATTAATCATCACAAATTTAATTAATCAATATGCACACACCGTCTGTTCTCATAATTGTCTTACACACAATTATTCTTTCCCATAATTGTCTTACACACTTTTATCTTACTCACAATCGTCACAGATCCACTTACCAAGAGTTCTTTTCACTGCATCTAGATAATGATCGAATTTCAATTTCGATGACGATGCTGTCGTGGAAGAGATATATATTCTTTCCACTGAGGGTGTGGGTGTGGGTGTACCGTCATTCTCATACACTCTCACAGTCACACCCACCCGCCCACATCCACACCAACGCCCATACACTCACACCACCACACCGACACCCCACACCAACATCCACATTCCACATCCACACCGACACCGCCGCATGCACTCCCATGCAGACCTACCCACAGTCAAACCTATCACAGTCATACCCACATCCTAAGTTCACACTGAAACTCGCACCCCTCCCTAACCGACACCCTGCCATACCCACACTCACACTCACACCCACAGCCGCACCCACAACCATACGCACACACACACCACACCCACAATCACCCACAGTCCTAGCCCTCCCTAACCTACGACCACACCCCCGCCCAACCCTCAAAAAAGCTGTAAAACTCATGGAATGCACTTATAAATTTCATAACAAGATATTGTCGGGGCTAAGTAAAAAAATCTCCAAGTTTATAATCAATGTGTAGTTATTGATTAATTGGAACATTCTGTTCGACTAATAATACTCAAAATGAGTTTCATCCTGAATTTTTCTGCCCCAGCGATCAGCCGGATGAAAATGAGCTGGAAAGCCATTTTTAGCTGTCTCGTGAATAGGTGGATTAGCTTTGCCAGCAACTCGTGCTGCTTCTTCAGCTTGCTTGCGAGAAGAACATTTTATGACGTGTATCTTTGGCTTTCCACTGGGGCCATTGCCTCTAGTGCCGATGGTAGGTTTTGGGAGTGCTGTTGAGTCTCCTGAGACTTTTACTCGAGATACTTCATAAGGAGTGCCTTTTTTTTCTGTGCGACTAATCACAGCACCTGTTCCTGCGTCCGTTACTGTTGTTACTTTGATAGGAGTTACCATTGAGGGTGTGGGTGTGGGTATGACTGTGAATGTTTGTAGAGAACACCGCATCCACACCCATACCCGCGGTAAGTCACCGTTAATCACTAGTTTTTTTTTCGGTAAACCGCAGTTTAGCGGCACTGTTCGAGGCTGGGTCGCGTCAATATTTGTTTTAAATTTAACAGTTACCATTGAATTAAACTAGTTTATTTCAAAAGCAAAATACAAGCCAACAAGACAAATTGTACATAGCAAAAAACGAAAAATTTATATTAAAAAATAAATGCAAAAATAATTACTGCAAAAAGAACTATTTAACATTTTATAAAAATTATCTAAAAAAATAAAATGTAAAAAGACTAAATTAACAATAAAATGTGAAAACATGAATTTAAAAATAAAATACTAAAAAATGAATCTAAAAAATAAGTGTTAAAAATAATATGAAAATTTAATATAAAAAAATTAATCTGAAAGAGAAGTCAATATTAAAATATTAATAAAAAAGAAATAAATACTAAAAACTTAATCTTTTAAAAACGAAATAATTATGAAAAACTTGTGCATAAGAATAAATAAATCTATGCTGCGCCTCTTATTCTTTTCTTGATTATTTTATCTAATCACGCAAACCAGCAAAATGAGCGAAAGATCGGCGAGCACATGTATATATACATGTTTTTTTTTTCGTTCTATACACACTCGTCGTCTTTTCTTCACCGGAAAAACTATTGGTCAACTGCGGCTGACCGGTGAAATTTATAAAGAATCGCGGTACCATTTAAAACCGGCAATTAACCGCGGCAAACCGGCGGTTTTGAGAAATACCGCGGTTTACCGCTAAAACTGATCCGGTTTTCGCAACATGGGATATTTGCTTACTGATTGTTGTCTACAACCAAGAAAATTTCATTTAAATGTTTTGAATGAATATAATATTTATATTGAACAAATATTGGAACCGAATAATAAATATTTATCATCCTTTAAAACATTAATGAGTAATATACAAAACTTATTAAATATCGATACAAAAAATAACAAGAAATGTTATACATTAAAAGAAATTTGTCGTTTTCAAATTAGAAACTATATGCGCAATCGACAATATGTATTGGTTCGATTTGAAAAACAATTCGATTTACCACCTCAACTTTTTAATTATATAAAATGTCTTGAATAATATTTTTTTTGTTTTACTGTTTAATCTCGAAATAAAAATGTTTTGTTAAATTATGCAAAATGAAGAATAGAGTCAGCTGTGGTAAATCAATAATGTTTTCGAGTAGTTTGTCTTTTTCTGCTTATAACTTTTCCATCTTTTATCGAAGAAAAAATGTTTTGCTACCAACCTTGTAGAGCAGACCCTGCGCTATAAAACGATGCTTTTAGTTTTTCAAAATATTTTTCATAGACGGATCTACACTGGTTTTTCAAACTGCTTCTGGCACATAATTGATTTACCCCACGTGGGGTAAATCAATTATTGCAGCTATTTTTGCTGGTGACTTTAATAAGCAACTTTTAGGAGAACTTGACATTATTTCTAGGTGATTCTGATGCCAAAAATGTTCGAAACAACAAGACCAATCATTTCAAACTATTTCGAACATTTTTCAAAACACTAAATTTTTTATAGGAAACTTTTCGGTGGTTGCCTTGAGGTATTTCATCCCAAATTTGCAACCAGTTATCTCCAACAAGATTTTAATACGCTTGAATTAGAGTTCTAATCGAATTATGTAAGTAGGAACTTTTTGGTTTGATTCAAAACATGTATACACTTCGATACAGGAAGCCAAGAAAAAAGTTGATTTTATCGAAAAGTACTCTTACAATTTATTTGTTATTGTCTTCATGAATACTCCTTATTAATTTTAATCTTACCGATAAATAGAGCATAAAAAGTTGTCTATGTGGAACAATTTTCAGTGATATATCTCTAAAATTCATTGTAGAAAAACATTTGAAAAATAAGGAAAAAGTGAATCTTTGTGTTTAATGTCAACTGCTTATAAAACTTACATATTTAATTAGAAACTCCAACATATTAGAGTGAAAATGAAGGTCCTCCTTTACTCATTTAAACATATTGTCTTTAATTTCTGAATAGCGTTGTTCGGTACAGGTTAACCATCATAATTTAAATTTTCATCAGTATTTATATTAACTTTTCTAATATAATTTTTCAAAGTATCACTTGTTGCATATTCATTAATAAATGGTAAAAACCTTCCCAATTCATCAATATGAATAGATCCAGAACAGTCTCTATCTAAAACTTGAAATGCTTGTTTCAATTCATCATGTTGATAATATCCCATTATAAATGGATGTAAAACAAGAACAAAATTATCGAATGATAATGCATCTGGAATGAGTTTAGCTAATTGTTAGTATTGTTCTCGTGTAATATATGTATCGTATATTCGACTACATCGTTCTTGTTTATTTGTTATACCAAGAGACACATTTTCAACAGTAAATTCTTCAAATTGATAAAGAATTTGATTAATTTGACCATTATTACGCGTAATAGTTTCCGTCGCAGTAAATTCAAGATTCATTAGATCTTTTTAACTGACCAATCTTAAGTCAAATAACAACTTTATATTTAAAGTCTATAACTTTTGAGAAATATTTATCAGATGTCTATGTGCTTGATAGAAAAAAAACCCATCAATAGAAAAGGAGGGTGTAGGGTGGGTGTTGGTGTGGGTGGGTGTGGATATGGGTGTTTATCTTTTCTTCCGTCAAACCCACACCCACACCCACACCCACACCCTACATGGTTATTTTCATCATTATTATTATGTCCATTTTCATTCTAAATCAGACAAAATAAAAATTTCATGATGATAAAAAATTGAAAATATGTTAAATTACATTTTGTATTTGCATAAATTCAGTCCACATTCCAAGACTATGT